ATTACAGGTGTTTAAAGAGAGAAACATACAGGTACACAAAAAAAGGAGGAGAAATAAAGATGATAGAAATTAGACAGGAAAGAAGGAGCAGACCACACCAGGGCACCTGCCCACCACCCACAGTGCAGTTGAAAACCTTATTTTTGAGCCATCTCACTCGCCCCAATCAGACTTTTCAAAAATAGCTTTACCACGCGATTTCATGTCATCCCACCCAGACCCGCCAACAAATCAACGACCAAATTAAGGAGTTTTCTTCAGAATTCTTAAAAATTGGAGTTTGGGGAAAAACAACAGAGTCTCCAGATCTCCAGTAGATTAAGATTTCTAGGAATTGACAGTGGCAAATAAAAGTGTATAGCAATAACGCAAATACAAGTAATAAATACAAACAAGTACAAATGTGTATTTTCACTTTAACGATAATCCGTGCAAATAATGCTGATAAACTTGTATATCTTCACGTCATTTATAAGTTGTGCACAACAGATGGAAGCCGAATTCAAGAAAAAAAAAAAAAAGGTTCTATCTACACAGATGTTCATTGCCGATGAGACGTTTGAGCTCTAGATTGTAGACTTTGACAAGTACTGAGCTCCATTTAGAAGACACAGGACCCAACAAAGAGAGCATATATTACAAAGACACAGGACTCAGTAAAGAGAACACATATTACAAAGTAAAAAATGTAGGGTGAGATATAAAAAATAATATTTAGAAAGAAGTAAAATTTAAAAAGACAAAGCCAAAGAATGAAAAGGTGATCATTGTTAATACCAACTATCACATTACAGCATACAAAAAAATGAAATAAGATTATATCAAAATTTGAATGTTTATCTATGCAAAGATAGAATATTGTAAATCAAGAATTTCTCAGTAACACAATTACGAGCAATTCATAACAAGGTCAAGCAACAAATAATTTTTTTCTGCAAAAAATGATAAAAGCAAGGCATACAACAATACATCCCCCAAAAAAAGGTATTTTTCACACCATCATCCACATAATTTAGATAATTCACGAGGCTGACTTCGACCCTACTGGTCAAGGCCAACCCAGGCTCAGAGAGCTACAACCGTCCAGCAGAAAGACCAGAGGAAGCTCAATAACCCCCCCCCACCCCACACCCCAAACAACAATCAAATTTGGGTTTTCTGCAAGTGATGCCAAAAACCCTAGGCGCTACACCAAGCATGCCACAACAATATATGTTTAACTATGAGAAAATACACAAATTTAACTTTTTAGTTTTAGTAAGAGCTTTACAGCACTTGCAACAAAAATAAGGTCATATAAATATAAGTGCCGAAGATTAAACGTGTTACAAATGAGTGACAAATATCACAAAAGAGGAGAGAGAGACATAAGGACGATAGATGTTTGATTAGAAAGAAGGAGCAAATCACACCAGAGCACCCACCAATCACCCACAAAATATAACAATTTATTGAGTACTTATTTCACTCTTCAAATATTACACGCATCAAAACAGAATATATGAATATCATTGATATTATCAATTGCATATAAATATAGATCATTCTCATATTTGTTTGAGTAAAGAGAAGCACATTGGCACAATAACAGTCATTTAGTTTTCGTACGGTTTTACGGCGCTCGCAACTGCATACGGTCATATGAGCGCCAAGGGGTAGATGTAAACAGAGAAATCCAAACGGGGAATCAGGCTTACTCTGCTCACCTCCCAAGCTTCAACAGACTTCGACTATCAAGGCATCCCGGAAATAGCAGTTCACAAAAGAGTGACAAATATGCAAAAGAAGTAGAGGAAAATGACGATAGTAAGGATGAGGAAAGAAAAAACAGCAGTTCCCTCGATGTTGTTCCAGCACAGTATGAGCATGACATTGATAAATCAGCCCATTTACAATTCTACTGTGCATAAGAACATGTTAATATCCCCCCTTTGGGAATGGCCTAAAGACAACTTCAGTCAGTGGCACTGCCCTGGGGGGGGGGGGGGGGGAGTCATTTAGAGCAGGGGAAAAGTTACACAGGTAGACAGAAACAACAGAGGGACCGGAAGAAAGGAACAGTGGCACCCTCCAGCCACCCGTTATCCTAGCATGTAAAAGTATAATGAATCAAAAGTATGAACTCGTAAAAATCACTCTAAAACACACGTCGTCCAAGTTTGGGTTAAAAGAAAACAGTGTTGACCCAGTAACGTGACAGTCATCATAATATGCTCTCAAAAAGAAAACAGTGTTGACCCAGTAACGTGACAGTCATCATAATATGCTCTCAAAAAGAAAACAGTGTTGACCCAGTAACGTGACAGTCATCATAATATGCTCTCAAAAAGAAAACAGTGTTGACCCAGTAATGTGACAGTCATCATAATATGCTCTCAAAAAGAAAACAGTGTTGACCCAGTAACGTGACAGTCATCATAATATGCTCTCAAAAAGAAAAAAATCAAACAGACAGAAACAACAGAATGACAGAAAAGAAGCAGAACCTTTCCAATCGCATCCTAAAATCAAACCCCTCTCCACGACACATTGAAATGCACAAATTTATAAAGCACACTTCAGCGTATACATCAAGCCAACAGATCAATCAGTACAAGATTAAAAATAAAAATACACAACGTTTGGAGGGAGCCAACCCCTTGCCCCTTTATAAAACAATTCAAATCGCGAACTTGCTGTAGACTGAAGAACACGCTTCCTATTATCTACCGCACAACTGAACGGCAGCCAGCCAAATGGCACATAGAACTTTCGATAGATCATTTTGCAGAAACAATCCTTTTGAACCCCAATCGATACTATTTAGATCAAATGGGAGGCAGAGGCAAGCTACTTCAACATTTCCTGTCAGGGTTAACTCTTTCACTACCACCACAGGGTTTTCCTCACCTGGACCAGGCCCTATCTGTGACCTACTTACTGATTCTACCGACCGTCAGACAAATTAAAAGATTTTGAGAATTCAATTTTCAATATTGGCCACATGTATTATATATGAAAATAGAGCGGAAATAATGAAAGAGACGTCTCTCTGTCGCCAACGTGTTGCTAAAAACGATTAGTTTTCAGCCTGAGATTTCAGTTTCGATTGTTACAAAAGTAGGTGTGGTTTTGAAGCAGGAAGTGGCGAGCCTTGAAACATGGCTTGCGGTCCAGCATTGAGAGCTACACGAGCCTTGAAACACGGTGCACGGTCCTGTGTGGAGAGCTACACGGGTCATGAAACACGGTGCACGGTCCTGTGTGGGGAGCTACACGAGTCATGAAACACGGTGCACGGTCCTGTGTGGGGAGCTACACGGGTCATGAAACACGGTGCGCGGTCCTGTGTGGGGAGCTACACGGGTCATGAAACACGGCGCGCGGTCCTGTGTGGGGAGCTACATGGGTCATGAAACACGGTGCGCGGTCCTGTGTGGGGAGCTACACGGGTCATGAAACACGGTGCACGGTCCTGTGTGGGGACCTACACAAGCCATGAAACACGGCACGCTGTAGTGAAAGAGTAAAGCCGGGCTGAGAGAAATCCAATGTCCGAGCAGACTGACAGAGATACTCAATAATTTTAAAAACTCCCCTCTCTACACAGAAACTGAACTCGCATCTTTTGCAAGTGATGGCAAAGCGCCTAACTGCTACACCACAGCCCCCACTCCATCTGATGGTAATTTAAAAATATCGCTAAAAGCAGACCCAGACCCCACTCCATCCGACGGTAATTTAAAAATATCGCTAAAAGCAGACCCAGAACCCACTCCATCCGACGGTAATTTTAAAATATCGCTAAAAGCAGACCTTAAACATCTTTTTTTTAGTCACCAAAATGTTTTATCACATCAGAAAAATTAAGCATTTCTTAATCTCAATTTAAAATCCCTTTGCACATATCCTATCATAAATAGTTATAGAGTAAATCATTTTGATGACACAGAGGAGATAAAAATGTTGCTGCTGCAAATCAAAATGGTTTACACTTGTCGATAGACAACAATTTTCAAGTGAAACCCCCACTGTTACTCACAGAAGGACAGAGAATTCTGCCGATACATGGAAAGCCACTAAATAGGAATATTTACATAGTAGCTCCAGCAAATGACAGATGGACTCAGCATCTCTCATTTCATTCTTTAAGCAACCTCACAGAGGAAAATCTTTCAAATCATTTTCCACAAACATATTCCTCGGACCCCGTGCCCTTTACACTGCCATCATGTATTACAGAAAGAACAAATCTGACCTAAGTAAAGTCCACAATGCCCATGAAAGATGAAGCTTTTCAAATAGCTGGCACACTACCTTCTGTTGGCTAAAATATACGTAGCACACTACCTCATGTATGCTAAAATATACGTAGCACACTACCTTATGTATGCTAAAATATAGCTGGCACACTACCCCATGTATGCTAAAATATACGTAGCACACTACCTCATGTATGCTAAAATATACGTAGCACACTACCTTATGCATGCTAAAATATATGTAGCACACTACCTTCTGTTCGCTAAAATTATACGTTGCACACTACCTTATGTATGTAGAAAATAGGTGGCACACTACCTTATGTATGCTAGAATATACACGTAGCACACTACCTTCTGTTTGCTAAAATATACGTAGTACACTACCTTATGTATGCTAGAATATACATAGCACACTACCTTATCATGTATGCTAAAATATACGTAGCACACTACCTATCATGTATGCTAGAATATAGGTGGCACACTTATGTAAGCCTCAATACTCCTGGACTGTCAACTTCTGAATGCTAGAAGACTACCTCGCACCACTTGGCGACAGAACACCCTTTGTATACTGAAATACTACCCTAGGTTTCTGATTCACTATCTTTAGCATAAAGGAACCTTTCTTCTTGCTAGCTTTTGCAAGATCCCCTGCCCAAAACTACACTTCCCAATGGACTATATCTAATTCCCATGTACTTACACTGCATTCTCAGGTACACAAATTTCCTTTCATCAAGTACACGCACTACATTTTGTCTTTTTTTTACTAAGAGGACGGTAATCCCTCCACTAGATATAATCGAGGCCCGGATTTCTCCAGGCCTCATCAGCCTCAGCAGTGTCCCTCCGGCTTACCAGGGGGCACAAGGCCAGAGGAAAAGTCGGGAAGAGATACTACATTTGGTCTTAGCCAAAAAGGCCCACACTACACTTCTGTCAAGTACGTATACTGCGCTTCACCAAATACGTACACTAAACTTCAGTGTGTACTGTCAATTAAAAGACACTTCACTTCATCAAGTACACACACAGCGTTTTGTCAAGTATGTATATACTACGCTTTATCAAATAAATACACTATACTTCATTGCATATTGTAAAGACACTTCACTTCATCAAGTAGTACGTACACTACGCTTCATCAAATACATACATTAAATTTCAGTGTGTACTGTCAATTAAAAGACACTTCACTTCATCAAGTACCAACACTGTATTCTCACATAGACATCTACACTACTTGTCCAAGTGCAAACACTACACTTCATCAAGTACCAACACTGTATTCTCACATAGACATCTACACTACTTGTCCAAGTGCAAACACTACACTTCATCAAGAGAGTATGCTACACTTGCTGAGGTACACATACACTGCACATTTCCGTCTAAACATGTACACATACTACTTCTTCAAGTACGTGGAAATCTAAACTCCACTTCCATCAGGTACGTACACTTCATTCTCATGAGCAAACACGACATTTTCAACTACGTGCCCAACACTTCCTCCTGTGTGTAAACTACGCTTCCTCATGACGTGTCAGCGCTACATTCTCATGTAACCTGTCCCCGTCATTTTAAGCAAGAAAAATTCTGAAATTATGAAAACTGAGCCCAAAAATGTGAAATTAAGCGATTCTGTCAATTTTAACAAAAAATGATAAAGGATAAAAATCAGAAATTATGAGAAAAAAAAATGATCAAATTTTGCCAAATTATGCGGAGTGCATAATACTACGGGGAGAGACAGTAACATAAACTACATTTTCAAGCACGTACACTATCATTCCCTGCTGATTCATAGAATTCATCTTCTCGTAGGACTTGATCCCGAGCCTCTTTCTTGTGACAGCTAAGCTCCACCAGCTTGAGGTTTTGGCGGGTGAACAGATACTTGTACACCTCCTTACACGATAACTGGTGGCCTTCTGGAATGTTCTTGGCCGCACTCAGAACTGTGGGGATGACCGCACGAGACTTCTCATATCTGAAAACCAATTATTGTTAAAGTAAGAGTTTTTGGTTTAGTTTTAGCAAGAGTTTTACGGCACTTGCAACACAATTAGGTTATAATAATGCAAGAGAAGAAGATTAGAGGTGTTACAAGAGAGTACCGTACACAAAAAAGGAGGAGAAATAAGGATGAGAGTTGTTTGATTGGAAAGAAGGAGCGGTATAAGTTTTACAGCACTTTCAACGCAACTGAGCATACAACACAAAAAAAGTCAGGGTACAAGGGCACGGGCAGACCACATAAAACTTGGTTGGACGACGTTTAAGAGGATCTCAAAAAGAAAAATTATATATTAATGACAGAAACTGCCCACCTAGCCCTTGACCAAAAATCGCACCTCCCCCTCCCCCCTCCACATCTAACGATACAAGAGGAAGGATAAAGTAAGTAAGTAAAGCAGCACAAAAAGGTCATATAAGTGCAGAAAATTAAGAGATGTTACAAAAAGGAGTAACAAACATGAAAAAGAAGGAGAGAGATAACGATGATAGACGTTAGACAGGAAAGAAGGAGAGAGATAACGATGATAGACGTTTGACAGGAAAGAAGGAGAGAGATAACGATGATAGACGTTAGACAGGAAAGAAGGAGAGAGATAACGATGATAGACGTTAGACAGGAAAGAAGGAGAGAGATAACGATGATAGACGTTAGACAGGAAAGAAGGAGAGAGATAACGATGATAGACGTTAGACAGGAAAGAAGGAGAGAGATAACGATGATAGACGTTAGACAGGAAAGAAGGAGAGAGATAACGATGATAGACGTTTGACAGGAAAGAAGGAGAGAGATAACGATGATAGACGTTTGACAGGAGAGAAGGAGCACACGGCATCACACCAGAGCACCCACCAACCACTCACTGAAAACAAATACAGGAGAGGAGAGAGTTTGTGTGAGCAAAGAAAAGCACATCAATCAAACAATGGCCATTTAGTGTAGGGAATAAATAAGATGGACAGACAGAAACAGGAAAGTGAAAAAAAAAAAGAACCTACCAGTAGCACCCTCCAACCACTCACTAGGTGAGGAGAGCCTTTTTTAAAACATTTTTATAGTAGAGGGTTTTACGGCCACTGAGCAAGAATCAAAGGGGTACGGAGAGGGGAGAGGAAAATGGGAGGAGGGGGATTGGCGGAGGAGGGAAGGGGAGGGAGGGAGAAGTTTGTCTCAAGCTGAAACAACTGGTAGCTCGAAACCTCATTGAAAACATTCATAACTAACAAACAAATATTGCACAAAGTATTAAGTTGAGAACAAACTTATATCAAACAAAAATGTAAAATACCATCTTTGACTACAAGCAAGTCAATCTGTCATTATATGTACTTGACTCCTATGAAACTCATTGACGGTAAACACTTTTAACACTTACAAATTTGAAAACTATTAGGAAAACATTTTTTAAAAGCAATACATACTTTATATGGGTGGAAATTGGTCTCTCTGAAAAAAGTAATAATAGCACTTGAAAGGGCACTGGGGGGTCAGAAAGATTAATCTTAAAGAACGCAATTCCGAAAATTTCCCACAAAATGGCTGTGAAAAGAGTGAAACATCTGCTATGACTTTTATGCACACCAGATTTTCCGCCATGTTGTACGCATACTTTGCTACTATAAGTACCTCAGTGAATACACATATGAAACTTGTGGGGTCCAGTAGCTTCAACAAGGATAAGAACCACTGGCCTGTAAGTAAGGTGATAGTTGGAGGGTGTGACTGGTAGATCCTACTTCATTTCTTTCCCTCCATTGCTCCTATCTGACGATCTTGTTTGTTACCCTGAACTAAATGACTGTTATTGTGTCCATGTGCTTCTCTTAACTCAAAGAAAGAAAGAAAAAGAAACCATGGAAAAGTGCGCCTCTGCAATAAAACCTCCGACAAACTCTTTAGCCTGACTCACCAAACCCTAGAGACTGACTCTAACCGAACCACTCAGGTTCCATCAAACTCAGGTTAACACTTTGCGGTCAATTGGCGCAATAATGCGCCAGTGAAAATTATCCGTCCGGTCACCTGGAGCACGGTGCAATTCTGCGCCGGGTCCAAGAAGTCGGTTGCAGTCGCTCTCCTGGCTGGGAGACAAGAACGCGTATTTTGTACTGCTGGCTGTGTGACGACAAAGTGTTAAGAACCACCGGTGGAGGACATCATGGGTCCCTATCCCTCACTGCCACTTCCTTGTGGATGCACTGTATTTTACAGAACTGCCTTTATCTGTTGCTGCGTTTTTATGCCAAAAAATTTCCTGAAATTATGCAAACTGAGCCCAAAAATGTGAAATTATGCAATTCTGTTAATTTTAACAAAGAATTATAAAGGAAAATAATCAGAAATTATGCAAAAAATGGTCAAATTTTGCTTAATTATGCGGGGTGCATAAAACCATGGGGACAGCTTTATTTCCTAAAATCCTCCCAAAAATGGGAGTTTGGGAGAAAAAAAATCAGTCTTCAGAACCCAAGTAAATTATGATTATATTTAACAGACAAAGGCAAATAAATGTGTATTGCAAATACATGCAAATAAAAAGGTGTCTTTTCACATGCCAGGTGAAAAGGAGGGAAGAAAAGAAGTAGGATCAACCAGAAACACCCTCCAACAGTTACGCGACCTATTTCTTTTACAAATATAGAAATGTGTATTTCAGATCATTTACGATAAGTCGCATACAACCACACAGAAATGGAATTCCAGAAAAAAAATTGGGACTCCATGCAAATCTGATCAGGGTTCTTCGACAGGAGAAAGAAAAAAAAATTGTTTTGAAAGGAAGAGCTGCGATTTTATCGAAATTCTTGGCAGGTCTAATTTTACTCACATGTGATCCAGATTCCATAAGTTGAACAGCATCCTATTGCGCTTGGATACATAGGGGTTGATACTGTGTGCCGTGGGACATTGGTCACAGTCATAAGGGCCCTCGCACAAGAACATTCCGGAATCCTGGCACATCCGATTTTGTTTTCTGGGGACGGTGCGGTCAAAGTAGTCTCCATGAGCTTCCGCTTTATTTAGTTGTAAACGCAGTTTCTCCGATAAACGTTGGAGATGAGCCTTGGTGGTCCGGTCCTTTACTTTATCGAAGTTTTCTTTGGCCTGAAACCAAATCATTCACAATACAAAAGCCTGCACCAAAAGTTTCTGGGCGAAGGAACAAAATAATTTTTCCTTTAGAAAAAAAAAAATCACCTTAAAAAGTACAAATTATGTGTTAGATTTACCGGAGCAGAGCAGGTGAAAACTTATATCAAGGTAACAGGATAATGGCTACATTTCTGTAGATAAACTTTTTTTGGGGGG